ATTTAAAGATTTTATTTATTTGACAGAGAGAGACATAGCAAGAGAGGGAACACAAGCAGGGGGAGTGGGAGAAGGAGAAGCAGGCTTCCTGCAGAGCAGGGACCCTGATGCGGGGCTCGATCCCAGGACCCTGGGGATCACGACCTGAGCCGAAGGCAGACACTTAACGACTAAGCCACCCAGGCGCCCCAATGAATTCTATTTAAAACTGTGCTACTTAAAATGTGATTGGTGAACCGGCAGCATATCAGCATTATCTGAGAGTTTGTTTTAAATACAAGTTTGAGGGTTTATTTCATACCTGTCAAATTAGAATCTCTGGAAGCTGGGCCCAAGGATCTGTTTTAACAAGCTCATCAGATACTTGGGAGGTATAATGAAGTTTGAGAAGTAGTGATCAAAAATATATTTAGAGTACACTAATTACTTGTTAGGTACAGGAAAGAATCAATGTGGATAGTGAGCCACATTGATTCTTCCCTGTACCTAACAGTCTTGAGAAAGTAAAGATAATGCACAGTATAAAGCAGAGATTGGAGCCCATGTAAATAGTAAGTGCTGGGAGACATTGGGTAGAATATGAGTTCATTGGGTACCAAGATGTGCCAGGTAGTATATACTAGGGTCACTGACATGAGAACCACTGTCCTGTTCCCTGGCTTAGTCTGGCAGAAGAGACAAAACAGTGCAATGATTTTGGTATTCCCAGGGTACCGTAGATTGTCCATTAGAAAAGCATTAAAATTTCAGAGGAAATTAGGATTTTGCTCTTTTTTTTAAGAACATACTACTAATAAGCAGATTTCTCATATATACTTCATTTTGTTGAGTTGCCACAGACCTCTAGTAATAGCTGGTAATGATGTAGATCCATTCATACCATTATTCACTATCAAGGCGGCTGGGTAAGAGGGTGTGTGAACGGCTGTGGGAAACACTTTGCCACTTGGCAGAGAAACCTTAGCACGTCTGCTGCTCTCTAATACTGCCAAGTCAGGAACTCTTTCCTTCTCCCTCATCCTCCATGCAAATTTTAGCCATTCTTAAAGCACTCACTTGAGTCCTTCATGCTTCATGAAACCTTCTCTAATTGTTATAGAACCTATAATCTTTTCCTTCTCTGAACTTTCACTGGGGATATAGTTTATACCTTAGAGCTTAGTCCCTGCTTATCCTCTGGTTCTCTAATATATGAGTATTTTTTTATGTTGTCTTACCAGAGGAACCAGTTCCTATTACTTAGTGTGGGACACACATACTAGGTACTCAGTATTAACTGTTATTATCAATAGCTTATTATGAACCAGTCATGGTAACATATGCTTTATAAATATTATCTCTAATTTCTGTAACAACTTTGCAGCTTAGGTTTTATCATATCCATTTCCATCTCCACTTGGAAGAAGAAACAGAAGAGGCTGAGTAGTTGAGATTGATACCACATATTCCAGACCACTTCATTCAGTCATGTACTTGACTGATGGATGTTGTAAAGATAGTTAATTTATTATATTATAATAACTGCTGTAAGGAAAAACAGTTAAGATTTTGAAAATTCCACTTTTCTGGGAAATCTTACCAAGGCATATTCGTAATCAAATGAATTTCCAAATATAAAATAGAAATAAAAACTAACCACATTGTCATGTCTTAAAAGACATTTTTATTTGTAGCCAGGGGCTTCTTTTAGTTTAAAATAAATACTTTAAAAGAATCATTTGAGGGATGCCTGGGTGGGTCAGTTGGTTAAGCAGCCGACTCTTGATTTCAGCTTGGGTCATGATTTCAGGGTCCTGGGATCCAGCCCTGGGTCAGGCTCTGTGCTCAGCAGGGATTCTGCTTGAGGATTCTCTCTCAGAGAGAGGAAGAGCCTCTGTCCCTCTGCCCCTCCCCCTGCACTCTCTCTCTCTCAAATAAATAAATAAATCTTAAAAAAAAAAATCATTTGATATTCCACTACTTTTGACAGACATTTTATATTCAGCATTGTATGAGGATTTGGGGTAAGTGTGGAGAATCAGAGAGTAGGGCATGGGGATAAATATTCTGCCTTATTTTCAAAATAAGATAATGCCTGTTTAAATCTTAAAGGAATAAAATTTTACAATATTTGACATGAGAATTTTTATCTGCTCTTCCTTAGATGAAAATTAATTCTCTGACTTTTAAAAAAATCCTTTAATTCTAAAAGAATTGCCTGCAGACTAATTATAACATGTATAAATTGCAAATTTAAAATTTTGAAGTTGAGGTATAGCAATATAGGATCATAACTTAGTTGTAAATTGGTTTCATAATTTTAAAATTGTTTTTAAGATTTATTTATTTATTTTGAGAGCATACAAGCAGGAGGAGCAGAGGGAGAAAGAAAGAATCTCCAGCAGACTCCATGTTGAGTGCAGAGCCCCATGTGGGGCTCAATCCCAGGACCCTGAGATCATGACCCGAGCCGAAACCAAGAGTCAGACACCTAACCAACTGAGCCACCCAGGCGCCCCTCATAATTAGTACTTCTAAAATGGCCAAAGCAGCCTGGTTTTTCCGCCACTAGGTTCATTTAAAGATATAAATTATTTGCCTGTGCTAAGCTCTCAGAAGATTAAATATACTTAAAGATCTTATCCCAAAAATTGCGTTGGGTGAATTCAGAGGCCTAAAAAATGTTAGGTCGGTGCTAACTGGGATATATTAATTCAACTTTTTGCCTCTTTGTAATTTAATTTATTTCCATTGTGTCTGTCCTAGGTGTAAATGCAGACAAGGTTGGAATTGAAGCTGCTGAAATGCTATTAGCAAATCTTAGACATGGTGGTGCTGTGGATGAGTATCTGCAAGACCAGGTAATGATACTTTTAGGATAAAAACCTTTGCACCTGTTAGATTTGAATATTTGGTAATTAGATTGAATATAAAATTCATTTTAAGTTAAGTAATCTCTATACCCCATGTGGGGCTTGAACTCACGACCCTGAGATCAAGAATTGTACACTTCTCCGACTGAGCCCGCTAGGTGCCCCAGAATGAATATAAATTTTAATCATTGACTTTCAGAGACTGATTGGCATGTCCTAGTTCAACCAGTTTTTAAATATTCTGGAATTATATACCTCAAATTTCAGTTTTCATCTTCACCTGGCTACAGCATTTGGCACAGTTGATCACTCTTTCCTTCTTGAAATACTTTCCTCACTTGCTTTCTTTTTTTAATTTTTAAATTTTTTAGAGTTGGGGGTGGGTGCAGAGGGAGAGGGAAAGAGAGACTCTTAAGCAGGCCCCATGGCCAGGACAGAGCCCCAGGACAGGGCCCCACAGGTTGGATCTCACAACCCTGAGATCATGACCTGAACCGAAATCAGGAGTTACATGCTTAACCGACTGAGCCACCCAGGCGCCCCTCTCACTTGCTTTCTGAAACATTATCATCTTTCTTTTTCCCTGGCCATGTATTCTAGTCTCTTTGCTAGTTTGTTATTACTATTGCTTTCATCTTCTCAACTTCTAAATTTTGGAGAATCCCTAGGCTCAGACTCCTGCGTCTTTTCTTTACCTATATTCCCTCCCTCAGGTGTTTCAAAACCAGTGTCACAGCTTATATACCATCTGTGTACGAACAACTCCCACATTTATATCACTAGCTCAGGTGATTAACTCCAAATTCACATCCCTTGTATCTGTCAGCATTTCCACTTGGATGTGTCACAGACCTCTCAAACTTAACATATCTACTTACATGGAGAGATGCTGGTGAATATTTCCAAGGAAGATCTTTTTATGGCCCACTGTCTTGATAGATTTTCTTTTTTTCTATCACACTTTTCTCTCCTTCATCTCAAACCAGCAGTCTATATTTAGAAATATACTCTTCAGGATTTCTTAACCAGTTTCTTTCTTTTTTTTTAAGATTTTATTATTTTAAGTAACTCTACACCCAGCGTGAGGCTTGAACTCACAACCCCAAATCAAGAGTTGAATGCTCCTCTGACTGGGCCGGCCAGGCGCCCCCCCAACTAGTTTCTTAAGACAATTTCCCTTATTTCTAGTCTCTTTCTTCTTACCCTGGTGTACTCTATAATCCCAGTAATTCTGTATTAGTATTTTTATTTACCTGTTAAAATGTTGTAATTTTAGAGAGTGGAAGAAGTTTGTCATATATTCAGCTTGTAGAGACAGTTGGTCTGATTAAGTATATTAACTTTTAACTCTATATTTTCTTCTTTTTTTTTTTTTTTTT